GGCCATTCTCGTCGAGGAGGAGCTGGAGCGGGAGGGCTACATGCCGATCTACAACGTGCTCGTAATGCATATGGTGCGGGTGAGTATGGAGCAGATCCACCAACAGCAAAAGATGCTCCGGGAAACTTTTCAGAGGCTCTGGTCGGATGACGTGCCCATCGAAGGCGATGTCAGCGTGGAGGCGGTTTTGGATAAGCTGCGGGGCAAGTTGGGTGGCGATGGGATGGCGGAATTGCATCATCTCAGGGCCGAAAAAGCTAGCCTGCGTGAGCAGTTGGACTCCAAGACGCTCGAACTGGAGCTCAAGACGGAGGATTTAGAGTCACTGCGCCAGCATTCTATTTTTATGTTTGCCCAACAAGCGGCTCGCCTGGATGTGGATACCGAGAACCTCAAAACCCGAACTCAGAGGGTGCTGATGGAGGCGACATTGGACGTGTCAGGGATGAAGAAGGAACTCATGCAGCGCATCGATATCGCCTCGGCGTATCTTCGGACGCCGCAGTACGGAACGGCTTTGCGGTCTATGCAGATATTGACAGAGCAGACGCAGAAGGAAATACAACAACATCATGATACCCTCTCCGAGCTAGTCATGTCGATTGAAGCCAAAAAAAATCTCGCGAAATTTATAAGCGCAACCATGCACAGCAAAATTCCTTCGATATACCGCAAAAAACTGCGGCAGATGAATAATGATAAATTATTGAACATTCTTGATGTATTAAGCTTTCAGGAAGGTGTTGTAGATTGTATAGGAAAGGTACTTTACGCACTGGAAGAATCTGAACACCAAACAGCTGTGTTTTGATTTTTTTTTATGCCCACTGATCAACGGATTTAGTTCCCATCTTAGCGATGTAGTTGGCGAGTTTTTATATTTTAAAAGCCCGAGGGCATTTGTGCATCATTCTGTAGGCTACAAAAAAGCCTTTCTACACACCGTAATTTGTTCATCACCTAAGAGTCTTAGGGAAAGGAAAAAAAATAGAAATGGGTCACAAAGTGAGTGATTTCATTTTCCCTGTTCTCATTCTCTCTCCTATTCTTTAATAATATAAGATGTAAATTATTGTGCTTTACTTGGCTCCTGTTCGGAATACTAGCAACTAAAAGTCAATTTTAGTCTTGCCTAAGCGGTACCACTGATTGTGTGTACACACCTGTGTACGGGGATCACACACGGCTGTTTAAAAAATGCATAATACTGAACTGTTGCTGTTTCATATCTGCGGCGTGAAGTGGGGGATGGGGTGGGAGGTGATGGCAGGAATGACATTATTTTTGTGTGAAATTTCTCTTTTTCATTTAGGATAAAAAAGGAAGACCCTACCGCTTTCATATTGGTGTGTACGCACACGCGCACATAAGCTAAAGGAAAGGAAAAGTAAAGGGGAGCTCCATTCCTTAACCAACGGCAATACTATTTTGAAGTAAAGTGCATTAGAATTTTAGTTTCCAGAGCTCTTCGTTGTCTTTATGTTTTGAGCCCTCGACGCCTGTAGGATCCTGTAAAGGCTAAGACGAAGTGTGAAGTATCGATATTTCATCGCACAAGCGGCCATAGAGTGCATGAAACGAGGTCTTATTGACGTTTTTTGCTATCTAAAACTTCTAGACCGTCTGCAAAGAAAACGAGAGGCTTCGTGTGTTTTTAAACATCATGTCGAGAAAATTACAAACCAATAAAATACTGGAGACGAACACGGTCCACGAACCGACGCTTTTGAAAGACCCTCGTCCTGCAGCTTCCAAAAAGCATTTGGGTAAAGCACATCTCTCCAGTACATCTGTTCCAGGACGGAAAGCTTCCCCACCCAAGGACAGAAAGAACGATTCCGTAATGTCTCCCAATATAATACATTCTTCACCAACTTCGACTGAGCAAACCCTTAATCTGAACAGAGATGTAGACCATACTGGGACTCCACTCGAGGTCAACCACCCTGTTGTTATCGTCAACGAAAATAGGACGCAATTTCCACTACGCGAATTTTCTTTGTGGCTCTCTGGGCAAGCGAGCACTAATTTGGGGATGCTTTCGCCACTTCCTTTGGGATCTCCAAACGGGGATGGGATCAGGGCGAAAGTTGACGGGGTGCTTGCAAATCCCATGAATCACCAGATACCAATGTTAGGGGGTAGTGGAAGCCCTAAAACTGCAATTAAAAGACATAAACGCGAGCGTAGTGAGAACAAGGAGGGGGGGAATGCCACTGAGGATTCGCTATTGCCCATTTTATCACGTGTTCACCTAGATTTATCTAGCTTAATGGCTGGCATTGAGTATAGTGCACCATCAAAAGATGAATCTTTTTTTTACTTGATGGAAAAGATCGAAGGAGGTCACGATAAAGATACGCAACGAGTGAAAAGCAACAATCACCGAGCCACGGATATCCCATCAGGGGTATTGTCCACATCGGAAGACCCGAAGGAGGGGAATAGCGATCCTCGTGGGAAAGTCCCGGAAAGGCGAAAACCGCCACCGCGTCACAAAACCCCGAAGCACCATCCCTCCCCTAATAACCCCCATCCTGATGCGGAGGGTAATACGACTACCACGACGACTAATAGGGCCGCCGCGGATGCCCCACACGCGGTGTCGGCCGCCCCGGGGCTCCCAACAGGCCGGGCCGCGGTGGCTATT